AGAGATTATGATTAATGGGTGGTGAGATGCATGGGGTGTTGCAGGGTGGTTGTAGATTTACATAGGGGGGTTGTCACTCGGAAATCAAAAGCGCCCTTTTTGTGAAGATGGTTTTTTGGGGGTGAAATGGAAAAGAGGATAAAAAGCGATGTTCACGTTGGCATTGGTGGTGGGGTGTTGTTTGGTATATATAATATATGGTTGAGTGTGATGTATTTACAAGACTGGGGATCGGAGTATAATTGTGTCTTGTACCTACCGTCTTCATCAACGCTATCCACAGAATGAAGGTGTTTCTATGCTTCAGGTTACTGTGTCCCTACCACGCCATCAGCTCGTGTTCTACTTAGCCAGTTGAGCACACCCAGACGACCATGTTTTAGTTACGCCTTCATTCAGCCACACCAAAGGTTACCACAACCATGCCATTGAGGTGACAGTGATATGCAGGGTCGCAGCTTATTATACCGGCATTCATCAACACAGATTTCCCAGTCAAGAAACACAGCCTGCATCATCCCTCCCTCACCGTCCAATCCCATGCCCAGCTCGCCCGTCCGCGTGGTCGGTTTTAGCACCCAGTGAGGTGTTAGTGGCGTGGAGATGGTGGCCCCTAAGGGGAAGCATTGGTTGACTTCCGGGCGGGAACTGCGGGGTTAGCTGACGCTTGTGCCCCCAAACGGGGGGCTTGTCTCCAACTGACAGCTCCCTATCGTGGTGGGGGGTACATGGGTGCATGGGTACCTCTCTCCATATCACTTACCGCATCTTAACAACCTCCGTTTGCCTCCCGTACCATCTCTCTCTCTTCCCGTGTCCTACCACTAGATCTGCTGCCAACCCCTCCCTCGGGCGTGAACTTTAACGACGGCTCTTTCTGATGATGTCCAGCTTTATTCATTGACAACTGATTACACTGCAGTCAAAGAAAAAATATCAAAACATTTTACTACTTGCTTATAAACCACGTCGACCACTTTCAGCTCCTCCTCTCCATCTCATGTAACTTTCTTGCCTCACTCATACCATTTCCATCCCATTATTCACGACACAGCGATGCGTCCGCTCCCCGGTGATGACGCCTTTGGTGGGCGTCCTCGGACCTCGACCATGGCGGGCGGCGACAGCGACACACCCGCCTTTTTGAACATGTCTTCTGCTGCTACCGCTGCTGCTGCTCCGCAAATGACTTATTTCTTTGCTGATGAAGCTTCCATTGGGGATTCTTCGAATGCGAGACCACCTGCTTCGTTTCATCATCATCATCATCATCACAGGTCGAAGGATAGCAAGAGGTTCCCTTCTCTGGATCATCCTGATCATTATTCGCATCATATTCCCAAACAATATCCGCCACGCAGCTCACCAGCTGTTCAGTACGAAGACCGCGACGTCAGCGGCGGTAGAGCGATAAGCTCAAGCTCAAACTCCAAAGGCAAAGCTGTGGTGGCTGCTGCTGCTGATAACACTGCTGTCAATTCCAAACCTAATGACAGTGATGACCTGGCCACGCCTATGCCAGTGACCTCGGGCAATTTCCCAAAGTTATCATCGCCCCATCCTCCACCGCCGTTATCGACTACTTCCAACTCCCGCCCTACCACCCCGTTTCTGTCCGCCGGTCCAGCTTCAACACTGGGAAGTATCTCCTCTCGACGAAACTCATTGTCGTTATCCTCCGCCCCGTCTGTTATCGGAACCGACTACGACGATCATTTATACCCCGACGAAGACGAGCAACAATTGCAAGAGACAGAAATCATGGAAAGCAGCGGGAGTGTGCCGCAGCTGGTTATGCCCAGTATCAAGATGCCTTCTCGACGGCCGTTTACCGAACAGGGGAAACAGATGGGTAGATTGAAGGTGTTGATTGCTGGGGATAGTGGTGTGGGAAAGACTAGTTTGATCAAGGCTGTGGTGCAGAGCTGTGAGAGTGTTGTGCATGTTGATTCGATTGTTGCTGGAGAAGGGAATGGGATGCTGAGGAGTTTGCCTGTGGGAGGCAGGAGGGGGAAGGGGAGTGGGGAGACGAGGGAGATTACCGAGGTTTGGGCTAGTACGAAGCCTTATCCTGAGTGGTGGAGTGAGGTAGAGGCGGGGGGTGGTGGGTTGGGGGGGAGGAAGAGTTTGGGGGATGAGGTGCTGGATAGGAATGTTTGTTTTGTTGATACGATGGGGTATGGGTTTGGGAGTTCGGTGAGTTTTATGAGCGAAGGGGTGAGAATGGGGTTGGGATGAATGAGGGCTAATTTGTGATGGCAGTCTATGGATACTATTACGCCGGTGTCGGAGTATATTCAGGGTCATCTTCAGCGAATTAGTAGTGGTTCGTTGAGTGATGGGGATGTGTTGAGCATGCTGGGTGGTGAGGGGGGTGTGCAGGTTGATGTGGTGTTTTATATGGTGTCGAACCGTGAGTAGAGGTTCTCGTTGTCTGGGGTCCGGTATATGCTGACTTCGATATTAGGCCTCCGCCCTGTTGATATTCACTACTTACGACAACTCTCACCCTTGACCAACATCATTATCCTGTTGGCGCAAACTGACCTTATGTCTGCGGACCAGGTTGCCGCAAGCAAGGAGCAAATCTACAGCCAGCTGAAAGAGGCCAGTATCCGCCTCTTCTCTTTCAACACAACCTCTTTCCATTCCGATAAGCAAGGGGTATACGCCACATCCAGTGCCAACGGCTCAGACCACGACAACATGGACGCAAGCCTCCTCATGTCTCCCGACTACGTCCAACCACTCTTCCCAACTGAACTCGCCACCCTCGTCGAGCAAGTCTTCAACAAAGATGGCATCTCCCGCCTCCGTCACGCAGCCGCCCGTAAATACATCCAATGGCGAAAGACCCAGTCCCCAAGCCCACTATCGCTGCCACAGCGGTCCCTCCGCATGTCCAACTCCTTCAGCCAAAATTCTGTTTCTGGAAGCCAGATGCTCAACCCGCTTGGTAGCCCTCCATCGTACGCCCTAGCCAGAATCACAGACCACACCCAAAGAGAGGAACGCCTCGCCCAAGTCCGCTTTGCCAACTGGGCTGCTGACCTGCAGAAATCCATTGCCACCGAGAGGGCTCAGTATCTGGCCCTTGCCCGTGGTGACCGTGTCCTCTGGCTGACGGAACGGCTTAATGAGTGTATCCAAGAGGGGAGTCTAGTCCCAGTGAATAGTAGACAGCATACCCACCGCCACCGTGGAAGGAGTGGGAGTGATGGGTTAGAGTCACAGAGGTATAATAATGTGAGGAGACAGCAGCAAGTGAGGCAGGTGCATAGGGAGAGTAGTTTGAGGAAGGAACCAGAGGGGAAGCAGCAGCAGCAGCATCAGCAAAACTCGAATCATGACCCGTTGGGGTTGTTGGAAGTGGCGGCTGACTTGAGGAGGAAGGGGTTGGTTGTTTTGGAGGTGTTGGGGAGTATTGGGGTTTTGGGCGGGGTGGTGGTTTGGGTTGTTGATCGGTGGGTGCATGTGCAGGCTATTGGGTGGGTGTTGGGGGAGTGGGAGAGGTGGTGGGAGGGGAGGTGATTTAGGGTGGGGAGGTGATGGGTGGAGAGGTTAGGGGTGATTTAGGGGGTTTAAGGGGGTATATAATACAGATGGTACTATCTGAGAATGGGGCCATGTTTTTTGAAAGAATGGAGCATATGGGACTTGGGAGTAGGGGGTGTTGAGGGGGATATATCATGTAATTTTTGGTTGGGGGTATATATAGTGAGAAAGAAACGGATATTTAAGTTTGTAAAGACTCTTCCACTGTGTTGAGCTGAGTGAGCGGGGACTTTTGCTTGTGGTCTGCTTTGGGGGAGCTTGGTCAAGTGTGTGAACTAGTGTGAGGTGTGTAGATGTGATGGTGTTGGAGAGTCAAAGAAATGTAAGAACACAGAATGGCGGCCGTTTTGCTCACTGTAAAGGAATGTGTAGGAGCTTATGTGTGTGTGTGATCGAGTGGTCTTGGTGGTCTTGTTCAGTTTGGCGGAGGGGAAGAGGCGCTGTTGTGGGAGATAGGGGCCTACCAGCGCCCCGCTCTCTACCTATTCACTCACCCTCCCTATAATAAAAGGTCTTAAAAGAAAATTAATGCGCCTTTAAACTATCTTTTAAGGCCTTTCAATCATCTTTCAAGGCGTTTGAACTATCTTTTAAGCCCTTCTAATTATCTTCTGAAGCCTCTTAACTATTTTCCTGACGTCTTTTGACTATCCTTTAAAGCCTACCAAATATCCTTTAACTCTTAATAATCATCATTCGAAATATAGTTAAACTCTATATAAAGGGGGCGTGTTGGTTAGATAAATAGGGGGCTCCGTAAAGCTTCTTTCCAAAGTAATGGAGGCTGCCACGTGAAATTTGGGCCATGAAAGATTATCAACAAGCCTTCGGACACAATAAAACGCCTGTGGGTGGCGGTGACATGTATGTGTGTGATGGCGGCATCTAATAGGGCAGCTGCATTGCGGCTTCCTTCTCTGTTGAGAATGTCTAGCAGGCTCAGCCGCAGAGCCACACAAAGTGCAGAATTTGATGAGGCTGGCAGGCACGAAGCGGGGTTTCCCATTTTCGAAAACTACTTCCGAACTTTACAACTTCTCTGTTGGGATTTGCAAGTGTGTACTCAACATGGCTGCTATATCCAGAGACAAGATACCTGCTATTGGCCTGACCGTCATTTATGAGCCTGAGGGGGAGGCAAACTTGGAGTAAGTTGCTCTATTTCCAAGCACCTGTTCGCACATCATCGACGGCGGACCGATGAGCTGACATCCGCAAACAGTGTAGTCTTCGTACATGGGTTTACGGGCCATCCAGTGCGGACATGGACTCACAACGGAGGATCTGAACGACTGGATCAGGCTTTTGAGCCACCACCCAAAGCCAGAAAAGTTAACCTCTTCTCAAGGCCCCACGAACAAAAGAAATCGACTCCTTCTTCTGCCTCTGTATATTGGCCCCAAGACCTTCTTCCAAAGAACCTACCGCATGCCCGGGTCGCCACCTTCGGTTACGATACCAATATCAGACATAGACATGTCGGTCCAGTGCTCAATAAAAGTACCATTTATGACATGGCAAAAGATTTCTTGTATCGACTCGAAGCCCTTCGCAGATCGAATAGCTCCAGGCCTCTCCTTTTCATCGCTCACAGCCTTGGCGGCATAATGGTCAAAGAGGCCTTGCGGCAAGCGTACAACAATCAGAATCGACATATTCAGCTTAGACAAACATTCGACTCGACCATTGGCATACTATTCTTTGGGACACCTCACGGAGGCGCTGATCCACGTGGACTTGTCGTGGGAATTATCGAGAGACTTGCCAAAGGATTGGGATTCGAGGCTAACCAGCATGTTCTCAACACTTTGCTGCCGGATTCGGAGTGTAGGCAGCTGAGGGACGAGTTCAATCCGGTCCTTCAAGATCAAAACTGGATCATTTATTCTTTTCAAGAAGCGCTTGCACTGTCGGGTCTTGGACAAAAGGTCGTGGAAAATAGTTCGTCATGCCTGAACTTCCCGAAGACTGAGATGACCATCTCAATTGGGAAGGACCACCGTGAAATGTGGTAAGCTCAAACATCACTCTTTTGAGCGTTGCTGTTACACCCTGAAATTTAAGCTGACAGACCTCTTCGTCGCCCAGTCGTTTTTCTAGCGTCTATGACCCCCAGTATCAAAAGGTGGCAGCAGCTCTGGATCGTATTGCGGAACAAGTCTCGGTGTCCCCATCAACATCTGACGCGGGATTGCCCGCCCCATTTCCTGATGAGCAGGAACCCCCGGAGGCGACTTCGCTGGACCACCAGAGCATTCAAACACTGCTGGATTCGTTGAGATTTGAGCAGATCGACTCACGGCAGGAAAGCATTCGGGTGGCGCACAAAAACACTTGCGTCTGGATAACGAAAACACGAGAATACAAAGACTGGCTTGACATCAACAAGATGGAGGATCATCACGGCTTCCTTTGGATGAGAGGAAAAGCAGGAAGTGGAAAGTCAACTTTGATCAAATCGACCCTCAGAAGCTTTCAAAACTCCAAGAGCAGCAAGGGTACTACGGTCATCCACTTCTTCTTCAACGCGCGGGGTGCTGAGCTGGAGAAGACCACAAGAGGGATGTACCGGGCACTTCTCGTTCAACTACTGGAGATACTGCAGAAGAAAATGCCCCATTTTCAAAGGGATGTCTTCAAGTCGGCTGCTATCAAAACTTGGAATGTGAGAGAAGGTCGCGAGTGGTCCGTCGCAATTCTGGAAGAGCTTTTCGAAAACGCCATTTTGTCTATTGGTCAGGAAGAAGTGACATGCTTCATCGACGCGCTGGACGAATGTGATGACGAGCAGGTTGAGCCGATGATTCGACTTTTTGAGAGAATCGGCGAACAAGTTGTCTCCAATGGCCTGCGCTTTCGTATCTTCTTTTCTAGTCGACCTTATCCGGATATCTCACTGGACACCTGTCTCAACCTCATGCTTGACGGCCAGGAGGGGCATGTCAGAGATATCAAGACTTATATTCAGAAGGAATTGAGGGCTGGTGATCAGCAGACTAAGGATCAATTACTGTTGAGGGCATCAGGGATTTTCATGTGGACTGTCCTGGTCGTGGACATCTTGAATAAGGAGAAGCGCAAAGGGACACCCAATCACTTAGTCACCAAAAAACTCAAAAAGATCCCGGGCGATCTATGGGAGCTGTTCAAAAGCATTTTGAACCGAGATCAGGAGGACAAAGACCAGCTCCTGCTTTGTATCCAGTGGCTATTGTTCACGCGAAAACCATTGGGTCCGGAGGAGTTTTACCATGCTCTTCTTGCCGGGATTGAGACTGATGACGATTCAGTGTTTGAGGACAACTCAGAGTCCGACGACTACGCAGTGCTCGGGGAGAACTCTGATTCTGAGCACAGTCCAGGTTTTCATGTTCAATCAGATCCAGACAAGGATTCACATTCCCTAGATGAAGGCACTTCTGCGACCGGGGATGCTTTGAGAGCCACAGTTCCTGATATCCCTAGATTCATTCGGAGTATTTCCAAGGGCCTTGCTGAGATCACACAGTCGAAGAAAACCCCAGTTGTGCAGTTCATCCATGAATCGGTGCGAGATTTTCTTCTGAAAGAAGAAAAAAGGGGGTTGCGAGTGGTTTGGCCCGAGCTTGGCGACGATTTTGAGGCGCAAAGCCATGAGAGATTGAAGCAATGCTGTTTCCAGTACTATATGCGGAGGGACATTCTGACCATCCTCAGCGTTGGTTTCGACACGGCACTTCCCAAAGCTTCAGCTAAGGGAGGCCATGCCCTCCGCGTGAAGGCTACAGAGACCTTTCCATTTCTGGGTTATGCTAACCTAAACGTCCTCTGGCATGCTGAATGTGCACAAACTGCTCAAGTTGGCGCTATTTCGCAACAATGGTTCCTCGATAAAGACTTCGACTTACGGACATGGTTGCTGTTGCGAAATGTTCTGGAAGTACATGAGGCTCGCCGGTACAACTCCACATATACGGCCAGTCTGCTTTATGTGTTAGCAGAGCTCAACCTACCTGCCTTGATCAGAATATCTTTACCCAGCTCCTGTGGTACCGCCAGTATCATCACAGAAGAAGAGCGATATGGCTCACCTGTCCTTGCTGCGATAGTATCCCAGAGTCGGGGTGCAGTTGATGCCTTTGTGGATCATTTAGCGGCCCTCCAGCAGATTCCGCCATCGACTGTTGGTGAATGGAGATCAGAAACCGGAACACACTCGTCACTATCCACTACAGGTTTTCGGTTTTCGCAGAAAAGGGGTCTTTTATCATATGCTGCGGAATATGGGGACGTGGCACTTTGCCATCTTGTTGGCAGGATTCTTGGTCACGAGGAGATCAACAAGCGCGACCAGAAGGGAAGAACGCCTCTATGGTATGCCGTGCTAGGGGGACACAGCGATGTTGCGAAGGTTCTCTGTCAAGAAGGAGCAGACCCCAACATTGAAGCAAGTGCTGATTTTGACAGAACGCCTATCTCATGTGCATCTAAGGCAGGGCATGTAGACATTGTGAAGTTCCTCTGTGAGAAGGGTGCAGATATCAACAAACCCGACAGAACGAAGAGAGGGCCTATTTCATACGCGTCTGAAAGAGGCCACACGGCTATTGTGTCATTTCTTGTTCGAAAAGGGGCTGACATAAATGCCAAGGATGTCGATCAGAACACACCTGCCGTGTACGCTATCAGGGAGGGCCATATGGATTGTGTCAAGATTTTTATTAGCAGCGACTCCGATTTTGAAGCGAAGCATGGGTGGGTAATAACGACGCTGATGATGGGTTAAAGAGGGTCACCAGAAGATGGTTGAGTGGCTTCTTGAGCAGGGAGCCAGTGTCATGACAGTCGACCAGGAAGGAAGATCTGCCATGGCTTACACACAGAAGGGTTCGAAAACGAGAGGATTGCCTTTGGCTCAGCTCATTAACCTGATGGGCCTAAGCAATCCACACTGGACTGATGATGGCGGAACAAGCGTTTTATACTACGCTGCTCAGCAAGGAGATAACGTGGTCCTCCAATCTCTCTTAAATTTGGGGGTGGCGGACATCAATCTTCGAGATGAAAGAGGGCGGACGCCTTTTAGCTACGCTGTTGCTTGTGGTGAAGGTCAGGACGCGGTGAAGCTACTACTCGACACCGGGACGGTCGAGGTTGACTCTAAGGACAGTAACGGACGCACGCCACTTAGCTATGCCGTTAGTTCATGGTCCAATAGTGAAACGGTGAAGCTACTACTCGACACCGAGAAGGTCGAGGTTGACTCTAAGGACAATGATGGCCGCACGCCACTTAGCTATGCTGTTAATTCAATGTCCGATAATGAAACGGTGAAGCTACTACTCGACACCGGGAAAGTCGAGGTTGACTTTAAAGACAATAACGGACGCACGTTACTTAGCTATGCCGTTACCCATTCGAATAATGAAATAGCGAAGCTACTACTCGACACCGGGAAAGTCGAGGTTGACTTTAAAGAAAATAACGGACGCACGTTACTTAGCTATGCCGTTACCCATTCGAATAATGAAACGGTGAAGCTACTACTCGACACCGGGAAGGTCGAGGTTGACTCTAAGGATAATAATGGACGCACGCCACTTAGCTATGCCGTTAATTCAAAGTCCAATAATGAAACGGTGAAGCTACTACTCGACACCGGGAAGGTCGATGTTAACTCCAAGGACAATGATGGCCGCACGCCACTTAGCTATGCTGTTAGCTTACGGTCTAATGATGAAACGGTGAAGCTACTCCTCGACACCGGGAAGGTCGAGGTTGGCTCTAAGGATAATGACGGACGCACGCCACTTACCTATGTTGCTACCCATCGGGGAAATAAGCGCAGCTTAAACTTCTCCTAGGGACTGGGAATGTTGACATAAATTCCAAAGACGATGGTGGGCGGTCGCCATTGAGTTGGGCGGCGGGGAGCGGGGCTTATGACTGTGTAAAAGAGCTTCTTTTGGTTGGCACAGTGGATGTGGACGCAAGGGATTTGCAAGGCCGTACACCACTTGTACACGCCTTGGATTATCTACTACCGGATCTATCGGATATTTTCACCAGGACAAAAGTATTTAAAGTCATCACTGCTTTTCTCGAGACTGGTAGAGTCAACGTTGATCTGACAGATAACCGGGACCGCACAGCGCTTGATATCGCCGCCGTGATTGACAGAAAGGAGAAAAGCAGTGGAGAGGGATTTCCCTGGTGGAAAAAAGGAAACAGTGTCGTTAAAATGTTGCAAAAGTATAAAGAAGGAAGGATCAGCGGTCTGCCAAATCCGGGGCTGCTTTACTGGTGATGGCCACTATTACGGAGGTATGGCTAAGTTGTTTCTTAGGGTATTTACTTTTATTCGTCGTAAATCATCACAGGACATGCTCAAATAATACCAGAGCGATCTTTTTGAAGTACCTTAAATGTCCTCGATGACTTTGGGAATGCCCACATAGGTAACTACTTCACTGCAGGCATAAAGAGCTATGTGTGTCGAGTGTTTCGGGTCTGTCTACCTAGACAGCTAATAGGTACATTGTGGTACCTATGCAATTATACTTATCATAATAATGATGGGTGGTGCTTTGAAATCGCAGAGAAAGGCGGCAGAATAGTGGTGCACATCTCTCCTATGGCTGTACCAATTACCTACCTACCCAACATATCATTTTTAAAAGAGGGAACCTTTACGGAGCCCCCTGTTTATCTTACCAGCACTTCCTCCCTAAGTATCTACCGATTTACTTACCCTTCCTATAATATAGTAAGTGGCTTTCAAATTATCTTTTCAGGCCTCTTAACTGTCTTTTAAAGCCTCTTACTTGTCTTTTAAAGCCTTGTAACTATGTTTTAAGGCCTCTTAAATATGTATTAAAGCCTCTTTACTATTTTTAAGGCCTCTTAACTATCTCTTAAGGCTTATTAAATATCTTTTAACCTCCCCCTCTTCACTGCAACGAGAGGAGCAGCCGATAGGTCATGTCCCATATCTGCCGAGTAAAAATAGTAGTCTGATATTGTTGATCTCTAAAGAATCTGTTTACAAAGCTTTGGTCGGTTGCACCACAATTATTCCCTGTATAAGCTGCCCTTGACACATGTCGTAGGTGGGTAGTGATCGTGGGTTTTCCGTACCTAACCCCGGCCACATAGAGGATGTATATCATGCTGCTGCTGGTGGATAATTTTGGGTTGATGTTTGGTTGGTGGGTGTTGCTAGTAATGGAAGATAATAGAGGTGGGTAAGGGGGGAGAGCTGGATTGGAAAGGGGGTAGAGAAGGTTAGACGTGATGGGGGTAACTATGTGCTATCCTTTTATAGATTGGGGGTCGACCTGCCATATTATCGTGGTAATTAACCAAGATTTAGAATCGATATAACTTTTGGAGTAGAATCAGTGTCCCGGTCGTGACGTTGATTAGAACTGTTATTATTATTTATGAGTAGATTTTGGTTATCCCAAGGAAAGGTTTGAGATATGAGATGCTCGATAGGACGAGGAATATCGTGATGAGAAATGTAAAGCTTAGTCATTTGTATCGTTAAGTGGACATACATTCCCCTTACATAACAAGGTCAGCCCAGCCGTTGTCACAAACACTCACCACTTAGTCACCCAACACTCCTCCATACCTGAGGTAATCAAACTGCTTTCATAATCACCTCACTTACCAGCAATCCGAGCCTCATATGCAAGGCTCGTACACCAATAAGCAGACATGTAGAGCCCTACAATACAGAAATTCCACGGCAGTGTCCCCCTATCCCCCCCCAATCACCTCCCTCGGTATTCTTTCCCTCCCCAGCCAGCCACCACACACCTCCCCGGAGCTGACCTATGCATGATTGTCATTCCAGCCACATCCCCCCCTCGTTCCTGACCCAGAACGCCGGACCGGATATTGAACACGACACGACTTACTCATCGGACCGCATCCGTGGTGAAACAACCTCTCCCTTACCTCTCACCTCTCACCTCTCACCTCTCACCTCTCACCACTCCACTATCAGCACTTTCAGTCTTCGTTACATTCCAGTCATCCTCACTGTCCCAAAACAGCACCATGATTCAACCCCATTTCGGCAACCCCTAAAATGTCAAACCCCGGAACCGACAGTTGCCAGACCTTCTTCGCCCATGCATGCATAGAAGCATTCCAAACCTTCCACCCACCTTCCAAATACGACAGTAGGTAGGTACGCAGTGGCGCGGCACCGACAGACTGGCACGCTGTCACTCGCGGTATTACCGTCTGCCCGTCCGCCGACCGAGATCCGTGGGGGAATAGAAAAAGCGGCTGCTGGCCTGAGGTCTCCCGTCCAGCGATTGGTTGGGTTGCGAGGCACAGCACTGCCTTACTGTGACATTACGATGCTGCAACCGCGGGCAGCGCGCGCAGGCGGTAGAGATGGGCAACGAGAGAGAGAGAGTAACATTCAGGCTCGTATACTAGTGCTGTTACCGCCATTGACGGGGGACTATGAGAACGTAACAGCGCAAAAAAACAAAAAAAAACATGAGGGTCGGATTTAAACTGGGGATTGTAACAGACAGATTGATGGACAACAAGGCTGACAACAAAAGTCCTGATGGTATGTATTATACCTATACGATCTGATATACCCCCCCTAGAGTAAAATGGGGTCCGGAGTACGAAGAAAATATGGGGAAAAAATGTTAACGTTGCCTTTGGGGGTTTCTTCAAAATGACCTGATCTGCGTTGGGTGATTTTCAGTCCTGTAAGTTTACCGTCAGCATTGCTCGGATTTTTAGAGAGTTGATCAATGACGATCCGTGATCGGTGATAGCTGGCGGTGGTAGATACGATACGATACGATCCCTTCATGCAGACCCGACCTGTGATACTCTGTTGCCTGTGAGCTCAGCCCTGTCCCTGAATCAAAGCCATGATACCATCGCATCGATAGCCCCCTGGTGCTGTGACGCCCGCGATGTCGTGATTCTATGCTCCCCGCCCAGCGCCTCCACGCCGCTCACCTTTCCGTCCTGGCAGACGGTCATCTCCATCAGGAGAAAACCACCGCTCCCGCTCTGCAGCAGCCAACAACCCCCGGTGCAAGCTCAACGCCGCCGGGACCGCCATGTGGTTTTCTTCCACGGACTCCACGGGTCTCACGGGCTGTGCCTCCCAGTTACTGACTGTGGTGGTGGTGGTTGCGGTTTACCTTCCCCTTGGACCCCGACTGGTAGAAGACAGACAGAGAGTGAGATAAACCCCTGGACCCCAATTCCACCAAGTGTCTATCAGCCCTATCTGTGGGGGCCAATGGGCACGAATCAGGACCCGAATTCCGTGCCAAGACCCATCTTGGGGGTCTTGTAACGTGTGCGGCGTTTGCGGCCTTTTGTTCGTTGCTCAGAAAGGGGGGGGGAAACTGTGCGGGGGAGGAGAACGAGGAATTCTCGAGTTGTCCCGTCCCGTAGCCACATACATTTCCGGAGGCGGTGCAAAAAAGTTCTTCTATTCGGTGGTGGTGATTGATGCCCTCGGAGTTTAGTTACTCTTGTGGTGTCGTACAGCTCGCCAGATATCGACAGGCGACTCTGAGCTAATGAATCATCTCTCATTCACACCGCTGGTATTACATAGACAATGGTCCTTTTCAAATGAGGCGGTGCTCTCTCGTTCCTGTGTCCCATCTGGGGTAAATTGCGTTCGCTGCGAAGGGGTTCCGTGCATACGGATAGGGCAAATGCTACCATGTTAACGAACCGACGAATTGCATGCGGCGCATTTTTTTTACCTCCTCAGGGCATGAAGATGACTGTCTTGTCCTCAGTCTGCCCTTGCGCGTGTACTGCACAGATAGTGGTGCCGTCTCCGTGTCCGCGGGATCCTGTTACCGAACGCGCTGATAGCTATGCACCGTATGCGTTCAAGACAGGGCGCATGTATTGGTGTAGCCTGCCCAATCTGCCAATGTGGGATTCTCAAATGTGGTTGGTGATGGCGTCGTGTCGTCGTGTTCGAGTCGTTGGCTCATGACGTGGATTGTTGCCGAGGGGTAGAATGGGGGGGTTGATTGGGGTTGGCTTGGCTTCGGTTGCTTTTGCTCAGCGGTGCTGCCTCGCTGCCTTGTTGTGGTGGGTGGTGGTCAAGTGGATGACAAAATGACTCTATGCCGGAACCCATTAGAAATCAAGGCAACCGACTCTATGTGAAATTGGACGGGCTGCGTTGATTAGATAACCTCTCAATGCCGCGAAGACGGTTGCAGAAGAAGCCGACAGAAGGGCGAAACTCTCCGCCGTTTTCTCTCTTCCATCCGGTCGGGTGCGGGCAGCTATAGCTTAGCTTTTAGGGTTGATTGCTGATTAGTAACAGCTCATGGATCTCTCTGATCTCTCTGATCTCTCTGATATGGCATCATCAAGCGATATCCATCGGAGATCGGATATTGGTGGACTTTAGGACCCTCAAACTCTGGGGAAACCTGGGAGGAAATCAAATGACATGCAGTCCTCTGGATAATGCCCAGACGTGCCAAACATTGCAGGGCACGTCAATCAATCGGCCTCGTGCCGGTCTGAGCAGGAGAGCCACGTCGGTGGGCAAGGCATCAAGACATGGACGTGCGTGGCAGGTTGAGGGGGCAGACAAAGACCTGGGCATTGGCCCAGTCTGTAACAAAACGAAAGATTACAGCGGTGAGGCGTGGTGGTTTAAGGCCGCGTTCCTGCTAGCCTGCAAGGGTAGAGTAAAAGGGAGGGAAGCGGGCGGACTGGGGTGTCGGACTCTCGGTTTTTGTCAGCTGCTGCGGATGATACATTCGCTGGTGACCCTGCGGTGTCTTGGACGGAGCCGAACACCAACAAGGACGGTCAAGGGGGTTTACAA